ATAGCAAAGCACTCCAAGCATATCTGGGTAAAATCTTAGAAACTTGGGAGTGGGTTATTTTGGCAGTTTACTGATAAACATTCTGGCAGTAAGGTTTGCGTCAGCATAATATTTTAACAGTATACTGTCATGTTCTTTATATGCTGAAAGGTGTCACAAGAAATTTATGTGACTGCCACATGAATCATTGCATTATGATTAATATATTGTTTTGTCTCCACACCCTTCATTTAAGTGAAATGAATGAGACTACATAGTCAAATTATCTTACATTTTGGATCACATTTTTCTCCACAGTAGGCGAATTTTCTTCCCACAAAGTGTGCTGGATAAAGAAAGGTTATCAAAACTGTTTTCATAAAGACATTCCACTGTAAATGCATTCTTCCGAGGCTACAGTTCATTTGTCTAAATGGTTTATTGTATGTATACAGTACTGCACATGTTCATTCACATCTGCATGGGTGATGGATCAGTCCAAAGCTATTATCGGCCAATAATATAAACTTTGAGCCATCTATATGTCCATCAATAAGACTTGCTTTTGAGATAAAGAGGGAGGTTTGGACTATGTTATAAATCAAAATAGAATGCATGGTTTGAATTAGGTTATGGCTAAAAATGCAGGTCTTTCCTTCTCCTCATTAATCAAAGGAAATATTAGTGAGCTCAACTGGCAGTGCATTAGACTATACAGACAACTATATTAGATACATGGAGAAGCATGCCTCTGTTTATCTGCTTTAGTCCATTTCGAGAAGCCACTTTACCACTCAGCAACCAACATACTTAGCAAACCACATTTTTCCATCTCACGCTAATGGTTGCAGGGCATATTATCTCCTAAGAAGTTCCTCTCAAAGAACTGCAGCTTATAAAAATGAGCTGAAAATCCTGCAACCTGAGATGGGTTTTATTGCATATGTGAGGTTTGCTGTGAGATCAGTCCTGCTGGCGAGAGGACGGCGTCATAAAGGTAAGGAACATTTCTTCCTCTGTAATCTCCCCAGAGGTCACAGATCCATGGAAAAGACGGAAGAGCTTCTGGGATACTTCCAAGACTAAGGCTTGCATTGTGAGCACTGGATTTAACCAAATTACTGACTAAAGTGACGGCACTGTGAAAGCCAATGGCATGAACTTTTCCTTTGGTATCCAACTGTTTCAGTCTAAATATCCCATAACCGATAGAAGGACTTAGCAAAGACTTTTTCATTATTCACTTTTTCATATAATATTCATTAGTAATCATTGTAGTGTGTGTGTGTGTGTGTGTGTGTGAGTGAATTCATTTATTTGTTTGTTTGTTGTTTTTTTGTATTGTTTTTTTCTGTTTTGTTTTGTTTTGCTTTGCTTTGTTTCGTTTTGTTTTGTTACTTATGAAAATTAGTTTGAAATCAAACAATAATTAACAGACCCTCCTTGTTGAAATCTCCATTTTGCAAGATACTTTGACTTTAAACTATAGGGCAGGACTTTCAGTATCTATATGACCTATAGCTGTATATTTTTTGTGGATCCCCGACAAGTTACCTGGCACATCACTAAAGCCAAATGGCAACGGTCTAAATATTTAGCTGAGCTGAAACTGGCAGTCTGCTTGACATTCAATCCAAATACAGCAGCTTTGATGGATTATGTAAAAACAGCTCTCTCTTAACTCCCTTAACTGCTTACCTTTAACATCTGAGACACTATATGATTTATGGTCAATCACTGGAGGGATAATTGGAACAGCTTCAGGGCTGCAAGATATATGGTCTATTTAACTTAATTCATGACTTAATGAAGATAATTACAAATTCAATGTCCTGTAAAATGGAAAGCTTTTTTCTTGAAATTCAAGTTGAAAATCACCAAGTGTATTTGTCCGTTTAATTCTTCCCAGTCCTGAAGACCTGTGCCAGGCGGATGGCAAGAAGATTCAGTTCAAGAAGATTGATATCTCATACTGTAGTTTATTGTGGCAGAATGGATTTCTGAAGACATTTTAGAGTTATGCTGCACTCCTATAAAACCGATAAAGAAAAGTTCTGTTCTTCATGTGGATATTTAACCAGAATCAATCACAACTGCTGTGACCGTTCAACTAACTGCAGATTTGAGGCAGTGCACTGTATCTGCTCTGTGAGTTTATACTGGACCGTGATCCTGTGTGTCTCAAGACACATGTGGACACTCTGAGATCAGATCTATGCAGGAGAACTGATTTTTTTTTGGACTCTCAGTCTCCCCAACAGAGCCTCTATCCTTGTGAAGCTGACTAATTTAATGGGACTGATTTTATGCTCAGTTTAGTTTGATGTATTTCTTTAGGATCAATGATTTTGGTTCCAGCAAACCAAATAAAAAATGAGCAGGTGCTTTTCATTTGTCATTCATATGCAAGACTGAAGCAAGCATATCTTTTACAATCAGCATAAAATCATGTGGATAATGGATTTTTCAAATGTTTTCCTGTTCTTGCCGGAAATATAAGCAAGTTCAATGGCAATGGCCTATGTTTTCTATTTGTTTTCTTTGTCAGTGTTTCCCAACAATTTATATCTTTCTTTCTTACTTCCACAGCCTCAACAATAAGGCTCTTCTACTCTTCAGTGACACCAAATCAGAAATGTGTCAGTCTGGATAAAATAGACAAAAAAATAGATAAAAAGTGGATTTTCACACATTATTTAAATTCTGAAACAGGACTGAAAAATGAGAAGAATCACAATTAGCTTTTGTTAATATTAGTAGTTTAAAGTAGTAGCAGCTTACAAATTATTATTTTCTTAGTAAATATTTATATATGCACTTTAATTTGATTACTTAATCTGCATATGATGTCATTTGATAAATTTGTCATTTATGATGTAAATAGTTTTATTACATTTTTATTTTTTATTTGCATAATAAAAAAATAATACAATTATTTACATAATAAATAATAAATACAGTTTCAAAAGAAAACAAATGAAAAAATAATAATCAACTATTTAAAAAAAAGTAACGATGTAATTAATTCCATGTTTTTTCTTCTAAATAGCAGCTCTAGTTTTATATTTCAGTTACTTTAAGTCGTAACCCACTGGACCCCGCTTAAGTAGGTTTAATGCATATCATTTGTTGGAAATTACTGTTTGTATGACATACATGAAGGTTTTCTCTAAATAAATAGCTGCAGAATGTGTAATGGTGTGTTTTACCATTGTATTGTGTGCATCTGTGAATTTTCTTCTGTAATTTAGGGAAGCCTCAGTGTGTCCTTATTAATGCAATTTAATCAGATGGTTTAAGATGAGCCTTAACCCACACCTGGCAGCAGTTTAGACTGCCTCACTGACACAAAGGCATTTGCACAGAGAGCACAACGTGCAGTGACCTTCCTTTCATCTGACTCACAAAACTCACATGAAAAGAGACGCTTGAATCGTGTCCAGCTGCACCTTTTAAACTCCCCTCAACCTTCATATCCTCTGGAAAAACTGATACTATGTTGGTTGCATGCTTTCCTTATTTTTCATTACGTATTTCCTTGTCACTTTGGATAGATTCCTGTCTTGTTCAAGATGCAAGATATCTGATACTGCAAGCACATATGCCATGTTTGGACTGGTCAGGCTCTTATTCCATGACTTATTTTGGTTTTGTAAGTCTATACCATGTTTTGTTTAAGTGCAGCGTTTTAGCTTTTCTTTGGTTCCCTTTACCCTCCTATAAAATAGTTTTCCATGTTTTCTCTCAAGGTCCACTGCAATGGACCAACAACCTACAAAACTAGGGTTATTTGTGACTCATTTGTATTGCTGTTCAACTTCTGAGCTTTAGAAAAATAGTTGAATTGCTGTAAAGATTATTAATAACCAAGGCTCTATAAATCACTGAGCTTATGACAGGAATGGCTATATGAGAATTCAAGACCGGGGCTCTTTCATCTTTTTAATAAAGTGATCTCATGACAGCTGTAAAGGTGGTTTTATAATCGTGAAAGCCCATATTTGACAGGTTATTAAAAAGTTCAGCTTCCTGTTCTTATTTCCTCACTAAAAAATTCAGGAATTGAATTTAAAAGGCATTCTCAGTTAAATTCTGAATGGCGCTCAGCTTTTATACTATTCCCATTCAATGTCGGGTAAGATGCTCTAAAAAAAAAAAAGGAATTAATTACAAGATACTAATTACATCTTCAACAGAGTAATTAGATTACTGTACTAATTACCAAGAAATATTGCATTACTTATTACTTTTTAAATCCCATATCAACCTTAACCAGTTGAACAATATAAGGATAGACATAAAACTATTCTTTTAATTTCAAATAAATAATATAAAATTGCATAAATAATTATTGAACTGACCAAAGTATTTAAAGGGTGACTGTTACATTTTAACATTAGATGTTAAATTTTGATGTTAAAGCCACTGGTAACACTTTACTATAGCGACCAATTATTAGCATGCCTATTATTACAATATTGGCTGTTTATTAGTACTTCTAAAGCACATATTCTGCATGACCATATTCGACATCCCTAATCCTAACCAATACCTAAACTTTACAACTACCTTAATAACTATTAATAAGCAGCAAATTAGTAGTTTATTGAGGCAAAAGTCGTAGTTAATGGTTTGTTAATAGCGAGAACGGGACCTTAAAATAAAGTGTGACCAATCCACTCTTGTTTTATATAGAATTGTTCTATAGTCTATATACAGTGTTTAAAGCAATTACATCAAAATTAACTGTGTAGTCAAATTACAGAAAAATTAAGAGTAATCCCTTATTTAACATTTTCAAGGCAAAAGTAATTCAAGTACAGTAAAAATTATTTAGTAATGCAATACACCCAACACTGTTCCCAATGGCCATAATTATTTTATTACAGCTAAGATGAAAAGAAATACTCAATATAGTAAAAGCAAAAGTGACCAGAATGTCAGCCCAATTTTGAAAATCTCCACTGTTCACTGTTTTGTTTTGAGGGAATATTTCATACAACATTTGGTAAACTTCTCAGCATCAATACCTAAGAGAGGAGGAGGGAGGAGCAGAGACAGACAGGAGGGTGGGACTGCAGAGGCCTGCCCTGGACACAGGCGATGGAGACATAATAGGAGAGACAGAGCCACGAGAAACTACATGTCTGTCCATGCCGAGAGAGTGAGAGAGTGAAATTACTTGATTCTGATGCCAGGACACACAGCTTATTTAAATAGCTTCTCAAGCCCACAGCAGCAGTTGTTCTCTCCTATTGCATTATGGACATGCTGAGAGTCTGTTTATCCTGTTTTGTTTGCATGATCTTATTTCTTTCTATTTGAGTGAGGTCTGTAACACATTGCGCTTGGACAATGCTGTCCGGTTGGCTGAGGTTAGTGCTCATATTTACCTTCTGGACTCAGCTGGTCCCATGTTTGGGTGCTGGAAATACACGTTACCGCTACTATCACAGGAACTGCTACACCTGCTTCAATGGATATCAGGGATACAACACAGGCCACCTGGGGGCAGGTGAGTGTTACTGGATTCACTGGTGAACTGTTTCCTCTTGGTTAAGGGAATAAACTTTACTGTTATTTAGCATTAGATTTTCAGGTTTTTTCTATTTTATTTAGTAGTTTTCATTTAGTTTTTACTACTCTGAGCTGGAATGTGGTGGAACGTATTAGTTTAATGACTGTGTGAATTCAGAGAAATTCAGAGACAGAACTCAGTCATGTTGTATGACTTGGTACCGTCTTGGCTGTGACCAAAGAAGCTTCTTTCAGCACTCGTAATTCACCGTGAAGGACTGGAGACTATAATGCCTTCACTCCGCTGTGAACAGATGTCAGATGTGTAACAAAACAAATAATAAGCTGCTAACATTAGTGTTTGCCAGATACTATAAGAACGACTAATGTTTTGTTTTCAGTTTTAGGAACCTGCAGCTTATTAAAACTGTGTAATTTAGACTACTTGGTCTTTTCAAGTAATATTTCCCTTGCAATTTTTAAGTGACAAAGAGTTTAGGCTGTTGAAAAGTCATTTCTAGAGTTGGATTTATGGATTATTGCTTTAAATTGAGGGATTGGGAGTGTAAGGGAGACTGTTAGAATGTAATCAATCACTGGAACATCTTGAGTTTGCTTTACCAGAGTAGACTAACTTCAGTTCAGCATTTGTCATCCTAGAATTCATTACAGTGATACTTTTGATAAAGTAAGAAAATTACTTTTTCTACCATGCCTTTTATTCATTTGGTGAAAATAGGGTCTGTTTTGGATATAAAGAATGATTTCTAATGTGTTTGGGATCAATGAGTTTTAAAATACCCTCAGGGTTACATCTTCTGCACCACTTATGAAGATGACACTAAGGTCATGGAAGTCTTGCAGGAGGACAAGAATGTTCCGGCATATAGTTCATTCAACTTACATTATTTCTTTCTCTGCCAAATGATGTGAAAGACTAATTGATTTCTGTTAACTGGGCAAAACAATTAAAGAAATTAAAGAATCACCAAGGTTGCGTTTATTTGATCAAAACGATAGTAAAAATAGTAATATTGTGAAATATTATTTTAAATAATTGTTTTCAGTTTGATATATTTTTAGATGTAATTTATTTATGTGATGGTAAAGCTGAGTTTTCAGCAGTTATTAATCCCGTCTTCAGTGTTATATGATCCTTCAGAAATCACTCTAATATGACAATGTTTTTGTCGAAACTGTAATACATTTTTCAGGATTTATTAAACGATTTCTTTAAATCTTTACATTTCTAAAAAGTTTGAAAGAATAGCATTTATTTAAAATAGAAATCATTTGTTGAATTATGAATGTCTTTACTGTCAATGCATCCTTACTGAATAAAAGAATGAATTTATAAAAAAAACACTTACTGACCCCAAACTTTCCAACTCTAGTGTATATTGCAAATTCTTGCAGGTAGAATTAGTGGTCTCTTTGACTTAATCTGGGTCTTATATGTTTTAATGTTTGAGGTTCCAAGGTTTCCTTAATGACCTTAAACGGAGAGCTGGACTTGAATGAACGTGCTCCAGGGTAATGCTCTCTTACACGGAATGCAAGATAAAGGAGAAACGTGTTTTGGATTAAAGGGAGGCTGCTTGGCATAATCAGTCTGCAGTCAGAGATGACCATTATTTTTCATTCCTAAGAATTCCTCTGATCCTCTTTATTTATGAATATTAGACTAACATTTTGCTTCCTGATTTGCTATTTGATGTGCCTTCTTTACTCCAACAATGTGGAAGACAGACTTAGATTCTGGCAACTCAGAACTATGCATTTTAAAGATGCACTTCCCTGGCAAACTGAATGTCTGAAGCCTGTAATGTTTGTAATACAGGTAGTAATGCAAGATTAAAATGTGGCTCGCATCTGTGATATCAAGCCAGATCTTTGCTAAACTTCAAAGCAAAGGTATGTGATCTCAACTCAGGATTATCGTGATAAGAAGCAGTTGTTTTTCTAACCTGTAGACCTGAGGAGTTCAAGTTCACATATGTCATTGGTTTTACCTTCCGATTCAATTACAGTGTCCCAGCTGTACCTGACATAACTGCAGGACTTTGAGGGCCAAACAACACAACATTTGTTATTTTGGTTGAAATGTGGGTTTCACTATTACCTTGTGCACAGTCTTCTGTGGGATCCAGAAGTCTGAGACCACACTGAAGTTCTGAGATTTTAGCCTGGAAATCAATTGAAAAAGAAATTTCAGGTTCTGTACTTTGTCTGGGTACACAAATTTGTGGCATTGCTCATGTCAGTGACTCTACGTTTGGTCAAATGTTCTTGCTTCCATTGAAGCTCAAGATGCTCTTGTGGAACAACTTGTGCAGTTCATGCAGCTTGAGTGCTGCTGTCATTAAAGCAAATGAGAACTTTTTTTTTTAATTTGTCTGACTATTTAATTATTAGCACATAATTAAACTCAATTTCAATGTTTTCCTGCATTCTGTGATGAATTGCAGGGGTCTAGCCCATGGGCTGCTGCTGGCTCCACATCTGTGCTCTTATATGAATTGCTGCATTTTGTAAGTCTCATTTAAAATCTCTCTGTTTATTTACTCTCTGCTGCTGTGAATGGACCACAGTTCCTCCTCTGTCTGAGCTCAGTTTTGCAGTTGTGTACAGCACTCTTGTAATTAAGTTTCCTTCAGGCTTTCCTGGACAGGTGATTGTAAGAAGCCATCTTACCTTCACTTACCTTTACCTTCACAGTATCTTATCATCTTATCTTAATTCATAAAACTTAAAGGAAAACACAGAGTTGAACAATCAAACTCCTTCTTACACCATTTCCTGTCTTCCATTGGTTGGACAAGCAGATAGTCCCACCTCCAATCTCACGCCATTGGTTGAGCCAGTGTTGCTGTTTCAGGCCCTTGTTGAGATGCTAACACCAAAATAATTAAATAAAAGTTTTACTTATAGTTGTTTCAGCATATTAAAGAGGTATTTCATCACTGGCGAGATGGGGTTTCAATAAAAGTTGTCTTATCTATGCAGAAAAAATAGATTTTTATTTAAACTTTGGTGTTATATGACTAGAGAAAATAGAGAAAAAAGGCTGTGGTAAAAAAAAAAGGACTTCCACACCTGTGTTACTTGCCGTTTCTTTGTAATTATTTGTGAAATTAACTTGTAATTTTTGAGTGAAAATTGTTTCACTTCCAAATTTTTTCTTCAGTGTACACACTTAATATTTAATGTAAAAAGTCTGTCTATTCACGTCTTTATATTCATGGTGCTATTTTCTCCTCTGTTTATGTCACATCAAGCATGTGTCCCTTGTGTCAGATAATTACTTGTTTGTTCTAAATCAAATATGGATTTCATCTAGTTCTTGGCTGTCTGTTATTACATTCCATTTGCAGTTGTTTGTCTGGCAACAAAATAGAAATGATCCATCATTAGTAACAGTTATTTAAACTACATATTGAAATATTGAAAACCAGCCTATAACCGCTGTATTAACTGTCATCCAAATCTAAACCAGATTTGTTGTTATATGTCTTTGTGGTTTAAATAACTAAGAGATAATGTACAGCCAGCCGGTCTGCTCAGCCTGAAGGAGTTTATTTTGGGATAATGACCAGCTGACGGGATGTTATCCCACATATTTCATGGCTTCTTACCAATTAAATAAATATGTGGCCTTAAAATACTGATTTGAGATTTAAATTTGTAGATTAGCTTTAAGCTTTTGCTAATAACAACAGTCCATAACAAAGAGGAAAATAATCTGCCTAGCAACAAGACACAACATTACAATATTGATTTACTAATGACTATAAATCTGCAATCTAAGATCATTTTTCTGTGGACTAGCATATTTAGCTATAATGTAACATGCCTTCCACTAGTTTAAGTGCATGGAGCTGAACTATTCTTCACATATTAATCATAGTGGACCTTTAATCTTCTCTGCTCCAGGGCTGTTATTGCACTTAATCAAAGCACTTTCATTAAACAGAACTGCTCAGGGTCAGACGGTCTGTCTAAATGCCTGATTTAAAGTTTTAAGGTTCAGTCTTAATGAGTAAACCGCTGCAGTCAAGTGGACCATCACTTCCATCTTCCTGGCTAGTGGTATGGTTGCTTGAGATGATCATTTAAGGCACAAATTATAAAAGCTATAATAAAAAGTTTTTATACACATATGATGATCTGAAGGTGAATGGTACATGCTCGAACTGGAATATTTAATGCATAAATAGTCTGATTTCTTTCAATTTATCTCCAAAATATAAGCAGTTATGGAGACACCTCATTATAGTTTGCAGTAACTCATACTTTGAATGATCCTCTCCTTGGATTCTTCTGTTTTTGCCATGCATCCAACAGCTAAAAGTCTCTCTGGCTCTACAGTAACTATATTTTAATGTATTGGTATCATTTGTCCTGGAAATAATTCTTGCTTACAGAATATTGGCCATTATGCTCTAAGGAGGTTGAAAAAGTTTGCTTAATTTAAAATACTATTTAGTCCTCCATTCATTTGTCCAAAAAGTTAATCAGCCAATTCATTTATAGATAAAGAGGATTAAAACAAGTACTACAGAAAGTTTTCTCAAGGCTCTTTCACTATACCTCTTGGAAAGATATATAAAACAATAGGACAAGCAGCCCTGTGAAGGGAGTATATGAATGG